GCAAGGACACAAGCATATAACTTCAATGGTGATTTAATTATACAATTGGTAGAAATGAAATTGACGGATTACCACATTCCCCACCTTCTTCTCAGCTAACTAAAAAAAAAAAAGATTGGACTGGATAACTTCCAATGCTGTGGTGACTGAAATTACTAAGTGACAATGCAAGTCGTGATTGGGAAACAGTAGGAGCAACCAGAGAAATGTCTTGCAACAGCACAAGGCAGGCCTAAGCTGCTATGACACAGAGAAGGCAGAATTCCATAGCTAGGAATGGATCTGAGGCTGAAAAGGAAAATTTAAAGAGTAACACAATGCAGTCAAAACCAAAAACCCACACAAACACCTCACCAACCCCTCTTCCACTCACCCCCACACAAATGGGGCCTAGCATAAGGTTAATTCGTACAGTAAAAAGACAAGATATGTCAGATCTCAAAAATTAAGCCAGTTCCAGCTCAGTACTTGAATAGAAACTAAGTAAGGGTATGTCTACACTCAAAGCAGGAGGTGTGTTTGTGTGAGATTCACAGCTTGCAGGCATGCACTCAGAGCAGATAGCCCCTCCCACTAATTAGGCTATAGCAGCTACATTCTGATGAGAATTAGCGCAAGTATGTCTCCTTGAGCTGGGACTCACACCCCCACCTCAAAGTGTAGACATATCCCATTTCTCCTAAGGGTGCCACCAAGTAGTATTAGATGGTGCTCCATGCACAACATGATGCTAGGGGACACCATGTTGTTGGAGACACCATCTTCTGGAGGTCACGTGAAGCCAGTATTCTGACACCTTCAATTCCTGTAGCTAGATTTTACCCGATTTACTCCAATTTAGATACAGCATTGTATTGTTCCACCCTTGAAATAGCTGCATTTTAATCATGGGAGAAATAATTCTATTTATTATACACTGCACTCAAGAGCCTTCAGGATGGACAGCACTACATGTATGATGTGTTAATCAGTTTTACAATGCTAACTAAGTTAGATCAGACAGCAAGCTTTGAGGAAAATACCATCCATTTAAGTAGAAGTCTGGACATTGTTCTCAACCAGTGGTGGGCAACCTACGACCCATCATGGTAAGGTGCTGGCGGGCTGCCAGACCATTTGTTTACATTTGCATAGTCGCCCACAGCTCCCAATGGCCATGGCTCGCCATTCCCAGCCAATGAGAACTGCGGGAAGCGGTGGCCAGGCCCACACTGCTTCCCCGCAGCTCCCATTGGCTGAGAATGGTGAACTGCAGCCATTGGGAGCTGTGGGCAGCTGTACAAACACACACACAGTCTGGCAGCCCGCCAGCAGATTACCTGACGGGCTGCATGTGGCCTGCAGGTTGCCCACCACTGTTCTAAACAAACAAACAAGCAAAAACCACACGGCATACACCCACGTGTTAGAACACTGACCTACAACTGAGAATAGAGAATACTCCATTTTGTGCAGTCTCTCTGTTTGGGCATTTGTCAGCACTTTGCGTACAGTCAGTTTCCCCTAGAGTAACTCAGTTTCCCTCTGTGAGGTCTTCCATAAACCAACAGGGGAGGAAACACAATTACAAAATATTGGAAAATGTGATTGTAAAAGCCCAATCAATTGGGGAGTTGGGGCAGATCTTAAAACTACCATTAATTTGTCAAATTGATGAGACTTAAAGTTAGTATCCTTTTAAAACACAAAATAAAAAACAGGGAGGGAAAGAATAGTGAAACCAAAAAAGTAACACATTAAGCTGAGGTAGGCAAGATAGAGAAAAGTAGCATCATATATACAAAGTATCTTTAAAATCCAAAGCAGACCAATGAAATTGCACTTAAGTTTTAAGGAACTAAGCAGAAGGTCATGAAGTGTAACCAGGAAAGGGGTGGGTGGGTGTGTGTGAGAGAGAATCTGAATGCAGCTCAATTTACTTTATCCAGTTCTTTCTGTAACTATAAACACAGAAATATGTTCAGTGTCTAACCTGTACATGGGTTTTTTGGAGGTGGGTATGCTGCTTGTTAATAACATTTCTATGACCAAAACTTCTTATTCAACTGAATACACAATGAAAAAAACCTTCAGAAAAGCCACTAATCAAACTGTTATTGGTAAACAGAATTGTTGAGATTACATTCTGAAGATGGCTGCAGAAGAAACAAGGAATTTTTCCCCTTCCTCAAATAATTTAAAAAATATCTAACCTTTGTGCTTTATTTTAACCTCCCTCCCCCTTTATTTAAAAAAAAAAAAAGCCTAGACATGTCATAGCGTCAAGTCTAGTCTTCCATGGAGAATTCTTGGGACTCTGATGTGGACTACCTGCTCTCAGTCCTTAACTGAAAGGGTAGAGTTTTAATCTTTAAAAGAGACATCTTTTCTCCCAAATGGTAGTTAATTAGTCCTAACTCAAAAATATCATTCAGGCTACTTCCTATCTTAGTCAGAATACACTTCCTCCATAGCCAGCATCTCATAACGCCAGCAGTACATCAGGTCTCCAGGATAACAAAACATGAATCATTAGAGTAGAAAACATTTCAGGTCTTCTTTACTCACAAAACACAAGGAGTACAAACCTTGTTTCTCCACTCCAGATCACCTTTACTTATGTCTCCATAAAATAAAAAGTTTTAATCTTTCAGATGAGCATGGATTTCATCGTGCCAAGCACTAGCAATGTGCATAAAGATTTAGTCTTCAGTTGTAAAGATATTATGCACATTTTTGCTTTCATCATGCAAGTAGCATCAACAGACTACTTAATACAGTTAAGCATGAATGTAAGTGTTTGGAGGATTGGGACATAAGCCTAATATTTCAGTAACAACACAGTTACATCTAATACAGTAAAGGTCTTATAAAAATTCTCTTTGCTCAATTTAAAACTGACAGTCAATGTGGAAATGTTTAACATAATAGTCTGTTGTATTAGATAATTAAGTCATGCATAGCTCAGTAGTTTTTAGGACACTACTGTTGCAAAAGTATCTGTGCTTTAAAAAAAAAAAGAAGAAGAAGAGAATGCCTTGAGAAGTCTTATTACATAAAAAACAGTAACTTTAATCACAAGAAAAGCCACTCCAAATCTCAGGAACTCAATATACACATTCATATGTACTCCACTTTTATGGAACTAAAGTCTAAGACAATTATTAATATTACACATAACTAATAAAATCAACTCATCTTCAACTATGACTACTAATTGCTAACATTGTTTACTCCCTGTAATCAAGTAGTTTTTTTTTTTAATTACAACTTGAGCAATACCCAATTTAAGCAGTTTGAGTCTTCTTCCATTTCCTGATAACTTGCATATGCACATCACAAAGAATTTAGCAAGCAACAGGGAAACAGTTATGAGGACAGCTCCTGAACAGCCTAGAAAAGGCCTCCCCCAAATCCATTAGTGTCAGGTTCTGGATTTTGTTTTCAGTTCAGTCTTGGGTCAATAGTTTAAAGAGCATTTTTAAAACATCCTAACCCATTAAAGTGATTTCCATTACTGGGAGAGCAAAATGGTCCGGGGAGTTTGTACAACTGTCAACAGTTGGCCATTTCTCAAGTCACATGAAAACATTTTACATTCAAAACTGAATGATCTGATTGAAGAAAGAGTTAGGACTGTAAGTGTCAGAGAAACTGCTTTGAGGAAAAAAAGGTGTAGCTATTTAGAATCATAGAATATCAGGGTTGGAAGGGACCTCGGGAGGTCATCTAGTCCAACCGCCTGCTCAAAGCAGGACCAATCCCCAGACAGATTTTTACCCCAGTTCCCTAAATTGCCCCCTCAAGGATTGAACTCACAACCCTGGGCTTAGCAGGCCAATGCTCAAACCACTTGTTTTCCTGCAAGACTGAACTATGATAGTTTATATTTATCCATCATGGTCTCCACTGTACACTCCATTTAGAGAGCCCAAAATTTGTCCTGAGAATTTAGCTCCTTTGGGGTAAAGGGTCTTTTTGTTCTGTATTTGTGCAGCACCTAGCACAATGGAGTCCTGATCAATGACTGGGGCTCCTAGGTCTTATTTTCCTGACTTAACAACGAAGCAAGCAAAGTTCAATGTTTTGAGCAGACTGCCAGTCACTGCTACAAGGTTTGGGCTGAGAGCTCAGCAAAGGGCACCTCCCTAATGACTTGTCAAGTTGCTAAACAAGGGGGAAATGCACATAGCGATCTCGAAGCCGCAGCCGGAGATGAGCAAGGCAGCCCGCGATAATGCTCTTCGCCAGAGATAATGCGAACCGCAGCCTACAGCCAGCTCCGAGGCGGCGGCCGAGAAGGTGCTGAGCAGCTGGGAGCCAAGAAAAGGGGACTAGGGAGGGGGAGAAGTTTCACTCCCTCTTGCCTCCCTCCGACGGGCAGAGCGCCCCGCGGCCACAGCCAGGCAGGCTTGCGCGATGCCGTGGAGAGGGGACGGCCCGACCAGAAGGCTCCACGGGGCCAGAGGAAGTGCCCCGGGCTGGCATATCTGCCCCAACCCCCTGAGGGGGGAAGGACCCGGCTTCCCCCGCACTTGACTGGCTCCGAGCGAGGCGGAGACACACCTCACGGGCACTCGCTCGCTCCAGGACAGCTGCAGCCCGACGGTCGGGCCAGCACGAACCCGCCCGTCCCCGCGCGGAACCAGCGCCAAGAGGGAAACCCCAGGCCGCTTCCCCTCCCACTCGACTCTCTCTGCCCAGCCCCCACAACGGTAACGGGGGCAGGCGGCATTCGGGCAGCCGACCGCGCTCCCCCGTCTCTCCGGTCCCCCCGCCACCCTGCGAAGCCCCTCACCAGAAGGAAGAGGACAACGGTGAGGGGTGAAGGGTGGCAGCCCCGTCCCAGCTCTCCTCGCTCGGGCTCCTCTCCCCAGCCCCTCACGATAGGTGATCGGGGGAGGAGGTGCCTAGGCAGTCTGTGCCCCTTTCCCCCTCGGCTCCCCCGGCCCGGCTCCTCGGGAAGGGATCGGGGGGGTTCCGGGGCAGCCCGTGGCTCCGTTTCCCGCCCAGCCCCTCACCGATGGTGGAGATGAAGGTGGTGTTGAAGGCGTCCTCGCTGAAGCGGAACAACAGGCAGGTCTTGCCCACGCCCGAGTCGCCGATCAACAGCAGCTTGAAAAGATAGTCGTAGGTCTTCGCCATCTTCGCTCAGCCAAGGCTCTGGTTTACCGGGAGATAGGGAGGGGGAAACTCCACCGCCACTCCCCGCCCACAACACTGACGCGCCAAAGCCGGCATCCAATCACGCCCGGCAACGCCCCGAGGCTCATCACTACGCGCCGGAAGTGCGCACGGGGCTGATGGGCTATGTAGTCTCCCGAGTAAAGGCCACCCCAGACTCATTTCCGGAACGCGGGACAGTGGCTCTTATGCTGGAGCAAGAGGCCTGGGGCTGCTCGGGTAGCGGCTCTGGGGTGGACAGGGCCGTGTAGTGCGAAAACTCGCTCAATTTACGGGGAGGAGGGTAGACACTGCTGCAGTGAGGCGCCTTGCGGCCAGGGGTGTTGGGGCAAGGCCCCGGTGATGTAAGGAGCCTGGGTGTGCTGAGCTGAGTGGCTCTGGGGTGGGGAAAGCCCCCTGCAATTTAATATCGCCTAACTCATTAACTGAATTAGTTCTAATGAATGTTTCCTCGTTGCCAGAGGACCTTGCCTAAAGATCAGCTTGAAACACCTAGACTCTCTGTCTCCTTCCCCCACAGGGCTGACACTGCCGGGCCACTCCACTGCCATCAGGGGAAATGTTAGAAATGGTGAACATGAGGGTTTCTGCCCTGCTCCAACCGCATCTGCCCTTCATTTGAGTGTAATGTTTCCAATACATTGAATAATTTGATGTTAGTGGCATTAGCCATGGTGAACGTTCATGGTTTGGTAGCTGTGAAGACACAAACTATCCTCTTTTCAGAATATGTGTAGTAGCATAGATTGTGGTGGTGGTCCTGTGCTGCAACCGTGTCTGTGGAACCACTTAAAAAATGGAGAGTTCAGTCTCCATGACCATTCAAGCCTTAATTGCCCTACTAGATTTTCCTGGTAATATGGATCCCTTAGCACTAGACTCAGGACAGGGATCAGCAATACATTTCACATTGACACAAAACATCTGTGAGGTGGTAGTGACTTTCAGTTACTACCAGGCTTATTTTTAACTAATGGATCTTTGAATACCATGTGATGGAGCACTGCAAACAGATGTGTCCATTTCATCATATGAAAGGCTTTCTTTGCATCCAGTGGCAGAAGTGAGCCAACTGCAGACTTTGTGGTTTGGGTAAATACATTTAGATACCTACACTTACTTATAAAACCCATGGCTTCCTTTTATAAAGCGTATTTGGTTTGGGCATGAAAAATTACATCCATACAGACTCTCGTAGCAATTCTGCATCCGTTATCTAATTTTATTTTTATAACAGTCATCACTCTGGTATCTGAGCACCTGAATATCTGCTATGCACCTAGAGTTCCTATGTATACAAACATTACAATGGCTGCTTGTAAACCATACACTGCACAGCAATACTGTATTAAATAGCTGTGGCTATATTTGTGTATAGCAATGTTTCACCAACGGCCTATATATAAACTTTAAAAAGTACTGCACCAGATATTTGTTTTTATCTGTATATAACAAGCCTCCACAAAAATTGTTTTTAAGGTGATGCAAAGGTTTCAGGCACATATCAGTGTTTTGGATGTGTATTACCTTTCATAAACATTAAAATTTAGAAAAAAATTAGAAACCCAGGAAATGCAGAGTAGAAGTTTTACTTCTGAGCTGAGGCATCCCATAGAGATACCAACATGTACAGTATCAAAAATGCACACCAAGAACATGGGGTTTATCAGTTCTTTCAATACCTATATATCCCTGAGACTACTGGGTAAGCATGATGACTTGTCAACATACTAACCTTTGTTCTTTTTATGTAAGTGCTCTGATTACACTTCCCAGGGATATGAGGTTTGTACATGGAGACACAAGAACTCAGGGTTTAATGACACTTGGATAATTGGCTGCCACCTGGGATCATACGGCTTCATCCTGGGAGGTACTAGGGTCAATTTTGCATCCACAATTTCTGCCACTTGGAAATCTAAATATCTAAATTAAATTTGTGGACATAATCAGGTATTTAGATGTTCAAGTGATAGAAGCTATACCCACAAATAAATAAGGACATAATACTTCAGTTATATGCACATAAAATTTTGCGGTGCAAAAAGAGATCTGGTGAAAGCTGATTTAATTTTGGCAGTAAATGTTTCATTTAGCCACCTTAAATGGTGATATATCTGTGTAAAGTGAGATAAGAATTGTAACATAGATTTTTTCCCCCAAAGTCTTTTAAGTACTGTTAATATGTCAGTATTTTCTTCTTTCATTTGCTACCTGTAATGTTCTGGAGTGAGTCAGTATCATTATGCACTTCTACAGTGTCCTTCACAGGATGTCACAGGGTTCTATCAAAATAAACAAAACTATAAAAACAACTGACAGCAATAGGAAAGAACTACTGCTTTAATTTAGTTTCAAAAGCTGTAACAAATTGAGCCCTATGAACAGAAAGAGAGAGTTGTACAATTGTAAATCATTGGGACAGATTGTTCTCTCCCACGGGCAATCCTACAGGAAATGGTTTTGGGACAGTTTGCTCCAAATTATTCAGTTAAGGATTGCCCCTTAACTGGAGGGGAAGAGTCTGGCCTTAAAGACCCCGGTTTCCCTTCCAATCCCCTATGAGCTCTCCCTCACTTTCCTGTAACTATGGCTCCAGTGGGGCCCTGCTGACAAAGCAGTGGTGCCTGGTACCCTTCTTACAGGATATTCTGCTCAATAGTTAATCTGTACTAACCTCTGAGTAGGCCTTCCATAGTACTGGTGGAGGTTGTGGAGATGACGTGCAACCATGACCCCTCATCGCATACAGATTCCCAAGTCCTTTGCGGGGAGAAGACGGGTTCCAGAAATGTGGGGGAGAGGATGGGGAAAACCCTCCCTAACAGGTAGTCTAGGGCCAATCTGTGTGACAAGTGTCCCAACTGCACCAAGATTACAGGGCTAGGACCTGGCCCATAGTTGCTAAAGGTCCTTTCTCACAGATGTACATTAGGACAAGCTATGTTACCTGCTGATTTTGAACTAAGTAAAGAACTTGAGATGCATGGGGTTCAGTCATACATAGATAGCCAACATACATCATATGCATCAAACATCATAATCACTCTTTGAAATTAAACCATAATTTGATGGGGGAACCAACGTAGGGGTCTTAAAACAGGGCCAAAGCATTCTATTAATTGGCCTCCTACAAGAATATGGATCTCTGCATTTGAACAAAATATAATCAGGAGCTGCCCCAAACAATGAAATACATTAATAAGAAGTCTTGAAGAAACAAATGCAATCAGCATAATTCCAAACCTTTCTTGTTAAATAAAGGTTTAAGCATGGTAAGATTCCTGACATGGGAGCAAGATGTACTAGTTACAAACTATGAACACAAATCCAATGACAAATCTAGTTTCAAATTCTCTACAAGTTGGAAGTCTATTTCAACAAGAACTTGGAACTAACCTTTGGTTTGCTATATTAGGATTTAACTTTATATGACCTCCACAACTGGATATCATGTCAACAAGTGGAGCAGAAATCTCAGTCTGTTCAGCTGACAAACACCTCAGGGAGATCAGGATATCATTAGCAGAGCCAAGCCAATGGAGCAATACAAGATTTTTTTCACACTCGTAACCTCAGCATTGTTCAAACTGAAATTCTGGAATATGGTTGCTTAGTTTTTTTCTTTCTACATCAATGGTAGTGGGCTGTGTGTGTGTTATTAAGATGGGCTCTTAGGCTATTTATTGCAAGATTTAAGATTATAAATGATGACAGCCTAATCTGGCACTGAAGCAATAAAACTGAATAGGTTAATTATTTCAGACTAGCATGAACCATCAGATTAGGGGAAACTACTAATGAAAAACTAATCACTGAAACATTTTCCATTTATTTTATTTTCTGAGGCCTGAGTGGCTACATAGCCTAATTAGGGCCTTTTTAAAGATTACCACATCAGCTTAGTTCAGCAACGAAGAGAGTCACTGAGGCTTTTATGAAACAGATAGGTTTTCATATGTCTCTGGAGCAACACATTTGTGTTCACCATCTGCTACTCAAGAGTAGTTTTATAGAAAAATAATGCAAATTACTTCATTCTTTAATTACTGTGGTGCTTTGCAATATTGTACTCAGTTCTGAATGGGAAAAGTGCCAGTTTGCTAGTCTTGCAAGACAGATGTTTATTTAACCACCAACTTAAAAATTACCTTAAAAACAAGTCGTGAAAACTCACTGATATTTACATTTTTTCCTGCCTTTGTTTAGTATGTAAAAACTGCGACTGTACAAACTGTATACTTCACAAAGCTCTTAAAGCTGTTAGGCCTTAACAACTACCGTGACGTTTGCCCTATAAAAATTCCACTCCTTCAAACCCAATCTTTGCTATAGCATTACATTTTTTTTAAATGTTGTGCATCACATGCTAGACAAAAGTGAGCAATGACAGAAAATTTTATATCTGTTTGACAGATATATTTCTATCTACTAATGGGGGACTACAGGGTTTTTTTTGTTTTGTTTTTAGGGATGGTGGGAGGTAGAAGAAAGTTAATATTATGAGCCATCTAAAGGGTTACACTTTCATAGGAACAAAATAGAAAAGATTGTCTGTAGTGCTGATTTGTATGTTGAAGGAATGGTAATGCAGTCTTTCTTAAACCCAAATCATATATTAACCCTAGTCAATTTCAACTTTAAACTAAATTCCCCTGGTCATATCATCTGATTATAAATAGGTTTAAGTTAACCCATATCTTTTTGTACTGTTAAACAGCTGCTAAGTCCCACCCAAGAGATGGCAATAACTCATCGGGGGGTGAAGTAATACATATGTAGCCCTTACCTTCCTCAAAGAACTGTTGTAAGATTTAATGAAGTACAGATGGTTTGTAAAGCACTAGGGTGGGGATCCTTGGATGAAAAGCATGAAAGATGTGCATAGCAAAATAGTCCTTTGATGCTCACTAATATATAAAATGTCACAAATATAAAATCTAAATAAATGATTTTATGTACAGAGGAAAAATACAAAATATTTGTAATTGGTCTGCACATACTCGAATGATCTGAAATCCTTATGAGA